TTCCAATGTCGCCAGTACCGCTACAGTGCCGACAATTTTTTCTCGAGGTTGGACCTGTGTTGACACGTGCCAGTCTACACCGCCTCAGGACTGTGAGACAGGGATGACGCCTACGAAAACAAACTCTTGGTGCTGGATGTGCTGCGAATTTGATAGCTCCTTGGTGTAAACAACTTTCGAACTGCTCGACAGGGACGATGTCTTACCATTGGGGCCTCAGTCATCTTTGCTCTCAATCAATACAAGCAAAATATGTGTCATATGCCATCTTCCAAAAAGATTGAGACATAACTTCTGTTCACGACATGATGGATGTCAGAACATTACATAAAGATACTGTAGGCTATGAGTATCGGGCTCCGCTGTATACCTTACAGAAACACGACTCACCGTAGTTCACTGTCGTGACATGGCACTCATTTATCCACACACATCAAGATAGGCTACCATACCGGTGAGTCATGTGTTTAAATCCAAGGCGCAAAATACTTATACTCACAGTTGTGCCTATACCGCTCTGGAGCTTACATGTCTGCGTAACGCAGCAATTTTTGTACGAGCAAAAATCAGGACAATCTCCGGTACTATCAATGTTGGTGGGACTGGCAGATACCAATGCTATCAAAGCGGAAGCAACAGCAATGACAGAGGAGAGATGCATTGTTTGAGGATGTGATATAGGGTCAAACCAATCTGAATGAGGCAATAGGGAGATAGCTTTTTATACTGTACTGAATATCATTCTCCGTGGTCCGGGTGATGCAGGAAGAAGCTATCCATTTGAAGTTTTCAGAAGGTCACTGAAACCGCCCTTCCGGCGCAAAACAGTAGTGCCGGGGGCAGAATTGTTTGCGCGCAATTGTGCTGGCATAACCGGCAGAAGCGGCAGAACCACCACTTCTGCCGCTTGGCAAAATTTTCAAAGTGATACAAGCCGTTTATGACGATGTATAGTAAGTGTCACTAGAAAACACCATTAGAAGACATCAGCACGTCCACATCCAACTGTCCGTCGTCGTGTGAGGTGTGATCAACTACCATGATCTCATCGTCAACAGATTTCGGTGCAAGACCTTGGTCAACATGCTCCAATTTTGCAAAATCACAAACTTGGCCCTCCAACACTTCATTTCCGTCAACCTGATATTCTGCCGGATTCTACCCGCAGAATTCTGCCATCTGCCAGGCAGAACCGGTTTGGCAAAACCAGCTGGCAGAATGGCGAACTTCTGCCCACAACCCTAGTTGACGAGCATCCTGCGCTCCGCTCAGAAATGGCCATGTCGAGGCTCCAAGAGTGCTCAGTACTCAGTAGTGACCAATATTTGATCCTATGCAAATAATAACCTACTGATCGTTCTTCCTGCTGGATCGTTACAACCCGCTGGCTCGGTTTAACTTGGATGTGATTATCACGAATTTGGCGCGCCTTAATTATGCTCACATCCAGATCGCTAATTAGAGATGAATTGGGCCAGGTGAAATTGACGCGGCCCTGCCGCGGTCGTGACGCGCCTGTGACGCGGCACTGACGCGGCATATGTGACGCGGCACTGTAACAAATTCCTATGTACAAATCATGTTTACACAACTTCATATCGCATTCCAAACACTTTGAATCATCGTTAATGATCAACATATGAGTGTCTGCCTGCGTACAGGCTCTATAGTGCTGTATTCACCTCTCACCAAATTTACAGTGCTTGTCCTCTGCGTTCATACTACTAGTATGCATCTTGCCGTCAGTCCTATATTGTTGCATTACCTCTAATTCGTTCATCTATGTTGGTTTTCAGATGCAGTGTCAAATGTTGTCTCACTGTGTCAAGCTTCGACCTCACCCTGCCAAGTTTGATCCACTCTCTATACCCTACACCAACACGTCGAGCCCCAACCATGGCATGTCAGAAGCCTCGTTTAGGCTGCGTCAAGCACTACTCACACCACGACAAGTTCTCCCAAATATCTTCGCAGTCTCTGTACTAATATCAACATCCACACTCTATGCCGCGTCAAACAAGTTGTGCCGCGTCAAATTTTCAAACCTCGTCACTGCCGCGTCACCCGCGCGTCACGCGTCACGCCGCATCAAACTTCATTCATGCCGCGTCAAACCTCACCACCTCAACTGTCACACTGTCCGTATAACTTAGGTACATTTTACTTTACATCTGTCATAATAATTGATATTCTAACAGTGTTCCTTTTCATCCTGACAGAATTAGACGTCGTACACTGTAATTGTCCATAGGCAGTAATAAATTTATTCCCGCTACCTTTAGGTAGTGGGTTTTTAGGGTCAGGTTTTTTCGCGATTATACGCGGCATAGTGTTTTGGAAATTCATTGCTTCTAAAAGGCCATAAGTTCTCACGTATGGCGCTATATCTGCACATTTATTATTTGCGCGTCCCGCGGCTTGCGCGCTGCGCGTTTTCATCAATACAGAGTGGGCGCGTTTTAATCAAGAGGTTCCGCATTCCCGCACTGCGCGTTTTCGCCAATCCAGAGCTGGCGCGTCTTGATTGGACTCAAAACTCAACTTGAAGTTGCCGCCATGATAATTATGATATCTACTTTCCTTCAAGCAATTTGAGACTCGGACCACTGCAGTATAGTATTTGTACTGGTACAAACATCACTCTATACAATTGAACACGATGAGTCTACGTCGTACGATGAATGAAGTCCTTGTGGTTGAACATGAGTAAAACTAACATGAGTACTAGTAAGACTATGGTGAAGGAGGCTCAGGCTCGAAAACCAGTTTCTCTACTAGGAAGCTGCAAGTCTCGGAAAGAAATTGTTGGGCGTGCTTGAATGCCGCTCCCTGATCGAGAATCTTGAACATGAGGTCTTTGCATCCTTCACTGACACGTCCAAACTGCAGTTCCTTGAAGCGTTTGACGGCGTCGTCGTACGGCTGTGGATTCCTACCATCAAGAAGAAACCGGCCCATACCATTCCACCAAATTGCGTGCCAGTCCTCGTTGCAACCAGTTGGGTCTTGACACTCATTCGAGTGCATCAAGATCTTCGGTTCCTCCGCAGCTACGATCCGGCGGTGACTATCAAGCGCAGCCTGAACGTAAATTACATTCAAAAAAACTTCGTTGCCCATCAACTCCCGGTGGGCATGAGTGAGCTCGGTGATTGGGGTTTCTGCCAGTTGCTGAAAAGCATATGGAAAGATGGAGCGGACGTGGTATTTGATGGCGAGGTTGATTAACTTAGCTGGGTGGAAACGGTAACGTGCGGAAGATATGCGGGAAATAACGAATTCGCGTGCATGGGAGCATTGATACATGTCGCAGAAACGGAGAAATTTCGAGAGTTCATCGATGCTATGAGATCCAGTACGCATTCTACCGTGACAAACGGTTCAGTTACTGACTGAAAACATAAAATATCAACATACCTTCCAAACGTGAATTCAAGAAACAACTCAAACGTCTCCCGAGATATTCCGTTGAGGTGAATCGGTTTCTCATCACACATGCCATCTACTTCTGGTTGCCTAGAATTCTCCATGGTAGAAAACATATCACGAAAGACATTGGAAGACGCGGATAAGATTGAGCTGCAGAGTTTGTATAGTGTATTCTCTACCTGTCAATGGAAAGTTTTCAAATTAGTACGATAATTTGATAGATGAATAAAACTCACCTGGAAGATGTGGCTGGACGCATTAAAGTAATAGACTGGGTGTCGAGTTGGTACAACAAACTCTGTCGACATATTAGCAGGAAGTTGAAATTAGACGAAGGCAGTCCAACTATAGTTTGACTGCTGTAAGCTGGACGCTTACCATCTTCTGCTTACGAATCATGATTCGTAAGCAGATGGTAAGCGTCCAGCTTACAGCAGTCAAACTATAGTTGGACTGCCTTCGTCTAATTTCAACTTCCTGCTAATATGTACGCTACTCTATGATTCTATTGAATGCCGATTCATTCTAAATCTTGTTTCCGCAGTGATCGTGATGCCTATACCACCACAGGCGTTTCCGCCATTTCCATCTCGCATGCCAACTCAAGCTCCATGGTCAGCAAATTTTCTTACTGCTCACGATACATTGTCAGACATCTACCGACGGGCCTATCGTATTCTGCATCAAGAGGACGCCGACCCCCTTCAACTTACGTTTCACTTAGAGGCTGTATCTGGAGACGCTATACCCCTGCTCCAAGCACTTGCACATGACCCGCAGGGGCATGATATGTATGATTGGCTGACTTGTGCAGCAACCTCGCTTGGAGATCTCTCTGTTCAATTGTTGTCATTTCGACACAATACTCGAAATTCGTGAGTCGTATTATCTCATTTTGAATGATTGTTGACTATGCGTGAATCCCAGAATGGACACCAACGTTGCGTTTCCAGAACCAGTGTCATTGCTGCATACAGGTCGTCCAGGTCGTCCAAAAAAATCCATCGACCTTGCGTTCCTTTCCGAAGCGGTCTCAAATTCACGTCAAATTAGACTTACGGAACTTGCCAAAACGCTAGGAGTCCACAGGAACACGCTGCGACTCTATATGAAGCACCACGGTGTTGAAAGAAAGTACTCCGATCTTACCAATACCGATCTTGATCTCCTCATCAAGGAGTTCAAGAAAAAGCGACCTGATTCAGGTATCCGGTACATCGTTGGGTATCTTCGTAGACATGGTCTCCGGGTGCAACATCAACGAGTAGTAGAGTCACTTCGCAGGGTTGATGGCTTAGGCCAAGTCCTGCGGGATCGACAGGTCAAACGTCGACGGAAATACCATGTGAAGCGCCCCAATGCGTTATGGCATGTAGATGGCCACCATAAGTTAATTCGATGGGGGATCGTGATTCATGGGTTCATTGACGGGTTTTGTAGAACGGTGCAATGTGTTTTTTAACGCATTTGCATTGATTACTGACTCTAATTTATATGTCTATTAGATAACGGGACTTCGAGCAAGTAACAACAATCGCTCCAGCACAGTTTTGGAACTGTTCATTCACGCAATGCAAAACTTCGGAACACCTTCTCGTGTGCGAGGAGATCGTGGAGGAGAGAATCTCGATGTTGCAATGTATATGATAATGCGAAATGGACCACGTCGTGCGTCCTTCATGTGGGGATCGTGAGTCGTAATGTGTTTGTTCTGCAGCTTTATGTTAGGTACTAATTCTGGACAAGTTCTACACGGAATTCGCGGATCGAGCGTCTATGGGTTGAAGTTGGCACGCAGTTTGCTAGGAGGTGGAGAGCGTTTTTCACTCGACTTGAAAACCATCACGGGCTCAACCCTCACAGCCCTAGTCATATCTGGTTGCTCCAGACTCTGTTCCTCGATGAAATCAATCAAGATTGTTCGGATTTCCGGGCGGAATGGAACTGTCATCCGATACGTGGTCCTGACACCAATGATAAGAGCCCTAAGGTAAATGCGTCGTTTTACATTTATGTGACACTGACAAATTATCTCATTGTGACCCAGGATTTACGTTTTTTAGGTCAAATCCAGTTCGGCGTGTATCGTGACGACTGCGAAGGGGTCCACCCTGACGTGATTGAAGAACACTATGGGGTACATGGTCCTACTACGACTCGACGACAACATCAGAGTGGAGCGGGGCATCCAATTGACGAAGAAGAACGTGATAACGAAGAGGAGCCTCTAACTATGGTACAGGCTATCAATGATCAACAACGACACCATATCCACCACGACGCTATCAGTGTTCCATTGCAAATCAGTCCTTTCGTCAATGACGAAACACGCCGGCAATTCTCTGCCACCCTTATCGAAGTCATAGCCGAGGATATAACACCGTGCGACTGCAGGCTAGCAGGAAATGAGTGGGAAGGCGATGAGTATCCAATCTTCGAGGCTATCCCTGTTGGCCGACGAGGGTCGAAAGAACTACACGTGTCTCTCGCCGAACCAAGCTGGTTCAACCGGGCGAGGCTATGGTGTCAGGCCTTACTAGTGTTGTCATACTTTTTAGCGGCTGGGCAAGAGTAACTTAAACTTACGAGAGTCGTAGTAGTTATTACTCTTGAAATACTTACTTGGACAATACGTCAACCAGAAGGCAGGCAGAATGTCATAAGTTTCAAATTGTAAATATAAACCGCACTATCTAGTACCTGTTGACTATCCTCTTCAAGTCCAAGTCATTTCCATCTTTTGTCTCCTCTTCCGTGTGAAGTCTTTCTCCACCTTCTCCCACTAGTACTATCGCTCTGCATGGATTCCGAGAGCAATGCTATGGACCGGGAGCACTTCTGTAGAGGTTCCAAATCTGACAGTCAAGTGTGCGATTGCGAAGAATTCTTTGCTCGGTCGCAGGATGAAGGCCACTGCGTGGAGTGTGGTCACGGTCGCAGCAAACACCCTCGCAAGGCATCGACTCGGAGTGGCAAACCACTGGAAGTTCAAGAGGATGAACAGCCTCACCGACTTGGAAATACCTCAGCTGTCGTCAAGGATATTTTTGACCGAATCGCTAGTGGTGGCAAAAGTGTCAACGAAAAGTTGTCCACCACCAAGCGACTCACTGAAGCCGGTGTACCACTCGCCAATGCCCGAGAGGAAGCCTTATCGACTCTTTCTTCCACCCGACTTGCTGGTTACAGTAAGCTGGCTAAGGGCCCAGTGTCGTCGGGCTTGCGAAAGGTATGGGATCATCGGCTAGTGCATGAAGATTAGTTTGCATGAATACTGAAGTTGCTTCTAGGATCGCAAGGATACTATGAGTAGCTCACTGCAACCTAGTAAAATTGGAAGCCAAGCACGCAGGAGCACTATGTCTAACCTTTCCACGACCGGAGCTAACACTTTTCGTGTCGCATCAATTGCTCTATTGACTTGCGGTGTCGATGTTAGTCAAAGACAATCAATAGTCTACTAAACCCACTAATTCATAGCATTTTCCAGAGAAACGGTCTCATCAGAGCACCTAAGGCCCCAACCAAGAATGGCCAGAATGAAATCCAGGCTATGAAGAACCGGGGTTGTTACCTTGACCGGCCTGAGCAATTTATCATCGATAGCGGATGGTCCTACCACAAGATCACCAGCCAGTTACGAAGCTGGTTTCCTAAGGTATTCGATTTTCTGGATATCCCAGTTGAGAAGCGACCATCAGCGCCATCACGATCATTAGCACGGCCGACACAAGACGAAAAGCCTATTTGGCGACTCCTTAACAAGAGTGGACAGACATTAACGGTTGTCAATGTTGCATTTCCGACTGGGACTGACCTAATGAAACACAAGGGCCGAGATAAAGCAAGTGTCAGCGAGTGTCACCTGTGGTTTGGTGTGTTCCTGTTTCTTTCTCGTACTACTTGCTGCATGTTGCCCTAACAATTCCATCAGTCACACGGAACCGGATTCCAGACAACGTTTACGAATCTTGGAACACTCAACCGGTCGTAGCTGGTTCGGATTCCGAACACGATGATTGCAGTGATGTGCTTTTGTCTGACGTGGACAGTCTCAATGATTCGTTTATCTCCAAGTCGGACAATGAGCTTGCGAGTTCTTTGATGGAACTGGAGTTGACTGATGCTGAGGTCGAGGATCCCAAAGGCAAAGGAAAAATGAAGGTTGTATCGCCAAAGAGAACTAACAGTGAGTTTTCGGTGTTGGCCTTGATGTGTGGACTCATCCATTCCAACAGTGAAACGAACTCGCACAGTTCTTTCCCCTGAGCAATCGCCATCGGAGGTTCAGAGAGCAATTCGAAAGAAAAGTAAAGTTAAACAGGGTAGAGTTTTTCCTTCCGTTATGTTTTTTATTATTATTCAATCCTTTACTACATACTCAACAGAATCAGCTAATGATGTTCAAGCTGCCATTCCCTTGTTTTTTACGGAATCTGGGCCATCGACAGGCTCTCAGCCATTTCCGTTGACTCAACTTGCTCAGTCCAATAGCCTCAGTGAGTTTTCCATTCGTGCTACTTGTTTAAAATTTAACCTGTGCTGTTGTTGCCAGAAACGGCGTCGTTCCGTAGCAGTCCACTCGGAGTGCCAGCTGGTACTGCCATTCAATTCCTAAAGTCGAAGAGTGCATTATCATCCCCACCCGAATTCGTGTCAGTCAGCGAGGCGGATGTCTTGTGGCGCAGTCGATCACACGTTGACGACCCTTTTGCACCGGAGCAGATCAATCCCTGGGATTCTCGCTATTCCATGAAGCCCGCTAACCTCCAGCTCATGTGAGGAGGGTCGGTTACCGTTTCCCAAACAATGTTTGACAAGTGACCGGGTCTAGTATTTGTTGATGACAGGCATGCTAATTTGGTACTAGTTTTTGTCATTTCTCGTGCGTTGCAGTACATACCACTATCTCATCCTCATCCTCATCTCATTCCGTACTTATACCTTGCATCCTCGCGATGCCTCACCTAATGATGTCTTGCAGGAGTCACGTACATGATTTACTTCACACTCTTTGAATGCAAACATTGACGACTAAGTACGAAGGACGCGTTGTCTCACTCATTTTGTGGGTCCATCAAAACAGTATGTATTTGAAGAAAAAAAACTATAATACTGCGTGAGCCGCTAAGTTAGCTCCGCACAACTTGAATGACTCGGTTAGTAGAGACTTGAACAAGCAAACGCGCTGTAGAGACTCGTGTGTCTCATGGTGTGATATGGCAGGTTTCACTAGGAAGTATACAGCACAAACTCGCAGCGTCATTCTGTGCGCTACCCACAGCTATCTCTATATGACGCGCAGCTTTCCCACGCAACGCGCGCCATGCGCGCACCATTCCCGCGCTTCGCAATGTATACGCGCGCGCGCGTTCCTGCGCTTGCGCGCCCTATAGCGCCAGCCATTCAGATGCATCCATCCACTGTCCACCAAGCTTCCTAGTACGTATATTTCCATTTCCTTTATTAGCATAGTTCCACCTTTATTTTTATCATAGTTTCTCACTCATATATATCCTTACATACCTACTCGGTAGCGCTTCGGCTCCGCATGACCGCGCTTAGGCGCGCTATATAAGCGCCAGCAGTACATACTACACTTTACCTTACTTTTCCCTTGAACTTACTAGTTATCACCCACTATTTACTTAGCAGTACATAGTAGAAGTCTATTGGTCTACACTTTGCATCTATCTTTTCTTATATTGCTTTATATCATCACTTAAGCTTAGTCTCTTTTATTTCCGCTTACGCGCGCGCGCTTTCCCGCGCTTCGCGCTAATACGCGCGCGCGTTCCCGCGCCTTCGTACCTTGCGCGCACTTGCGCTTTCTCACGCTTCGCTGAAGCGCGTACCTCTAGATCTTCGCAGCACTCGCTTCCCCTAGGGTCGAACGCACTTGTCTCCTCAAGAATAGCAGACTAGGTAACACGCGACCTCACAACATTTTATAGATACAGTTAGGAGCATCCTTGTTCCTCATTGTATTGTTGTTTCTACAACTGGAGCCCACCGCGAGGGGAGCAGTCAGCAAGATCTAGTTTTGCGCATCTTAACACATACAGGTCAATCTCTTTGCATTTTCACAAGCTAACCAGTTTCTAGTCACGCATTCTCGCGCCTTGCGCGCGTGCTTTCCCACCCCTGTGCGCCTTGCGCGCGCACCTTTGCACTTAGCGCAATTCGCACATATAAGGTCAATCTCTTTGCAATTTCAGAAGCTAACCATTGTATAGTCACGCACTCTTGCACCTTGCGCGCGCGCAATAGTTCCCACGCCTCTGCGCCTCACGCGCGCACCTGTTATACGCCTCGCGCGTGCCTGCGCCTTTTCACGCCTCAATGCCTTATAGATTGCCCATCCGCGGCACAGCAAACGCGCCCAAGTTCGACGGCACTACAGACAACCTCGCTGAATTCATTGACGCATATGAGCAGCTTGCTGATGAAGCAGGACTCCAAGGACTCGACCGCATCAAAGGTATCATCCGCTACCTTGCGCGCGATGATCGAGAACTATGGGGAGGCATGCCAGAAGCGGCAGTAGATAATTACAGCGCCTTTTTAGATGAGGTGAAGGTAATGTATCCTGGATGGGATGGTAAAAGACGCTACGCGCTCGCGGACTTGCGTGCCATCGCGCGCGAATACGCTAACAAACCAATGCCTTCTTGCACAGAACTAAGCAGTTACCTGCGCGCATTCAGGAAGATTATGCAGCCACTCATGGACGAAGACCGTATTGGAAAGGCCGAACGCGACCGCTTATTCATGGAAGGAATCCCTAGCGATGCTCAGGCGCAAATCCGCTTGCGCCTTATGATCAAGTTCCCTGACCACCACCCATACGACCCATTCCCATTCATGGACGTCTTCGCAGCTGCGCAGTTCCTATTACCTGCGCGCACTTTTCCCGCGCCAAGCGCACCAGTAAGCGCACCAATTAGCGCGCCCACTATAGCGCCAAACACGCCAGTTAGCGCACCAGTGGCTAAGTGCCAAGATCGCTATCACGCGAGCCACGCAACCCAGGATACGACCATTAGCGCTAATGCGACAGATGGACTCTTCTATTGCGCACCCTCGGAAGTTGCACTTAACAAAAGGCCACCAGTTCCAATTCTCGCGCCTCGCACGCGCGCCTTTCCCGCGCCTTCGCGCGATTTACGCGCACCTCAACCATCAACTGCGCCAGCATGCAAAGCTATACCAGAACGCACCGCTTTAGATCACGAACTCACGCGCACGCTCACGAAGCGCAACCAGAAGCGCACCGCAGGCGCCTCTTCACCCTCACCATCAGCATCATCTCCTTCACAATCTCCATCATCACCAATCGCATCGCTAGTCAGGGATGACTCTAAACATCTATTGCACACTAACGCGCCAGTTGAAACACGCGCGCCTATTGCTATCGCATCGCGCGTGTCTATCGCTATCGCATCGCGCGCGCCTATTGCTATCACCTCGCCAGCAGTCAGGGATGACTCTAAACATCTATTGCACACTAATGCACCGCTAGAAACACGCTCGCCCCTCGCTATCGCATCGCTTAAGGAAGAAACCTCGCCAATCGCACCATCACCATCACTGCTCGCATCATTAGAGGTCAGGGATGACCCTAAATATCTATCGCGCCTTAGCGCGCCTATAGAGGAGCCTTCTGCCACACCGGAGGCTCAAGTCGCATCTTGCATCAACCAGAGTTTGTCTCTGGTAATTCCATTTGTCACTAACGATCACGCGCACATCGCGCTCTTTGCTTCTAGTGACTACCGCGCGCCGGTAAAACATCCATGCATCACACCACCTAACCATCAAGCAGAGCATGTCTCAGGCGACCCTGGCGCGTCTCAGGCGCACCATATTGCGCCTAAGGACGCGCAATGCGCGCGCCTAGAGGCAGTGTATATTTACCCTCATCTTGTTTCGCGCTTTTTGTCCTTTTCATGTTTGAAGCTCTTAAGGAGCTATATGATGATTCCAAACACTTTAATTTCATCTTCTCACCACCCCTTGTTCATGCGCCATGATCACGCGCATCGCGCAATATGCGCGCGCGTTCCCGTGCCTCGTGCACTCATAAATTTAGCAGAGTTTTCACGCTACCGCATTTCTATCGCTTCTCCCCTTTTAAATTTCATTTCTGTCATTCAACACAAGGTATATTCCAATCAGACATCCAGGCGCGACATAGGCGCGCGCCTGACACATACATATGCGCCTAACCCCCCTATCATCACCTTTAACTTCGCACTTCGCACATTTATTCGCATTCTTCGCACTTTTGCTTACCATGTCAATTTCGTTCCTGCGCGCCTTGATGCGCACTATTCTCCTTCACCTATGCGCCTATTGCGCCTTGATATACCACCCTTACAGCCCATTGGCGCAACATTTGCGCCTAATTCTTCACTATACATGTCTCTCGCTAATGAATTTGCAGAGAAATGGCCGTTCCTCGCGTGTTCGGCCAATATAATCAAATTCGCGCGAAATTGCGCCAAGGCGCGCACATCGCGCGCATCCTATCAGCTTGTAGGGCGCCTCTACACCCCTTGCTGCGCCTCCCATTGGCGCGCCTTCAACCTGCAGCGCGTTGTGCAGGAATTCATTCTGCCAGTTACAAGCCCCCCCAAGCGCGCCAACTGCCTCGCGCATTCCAACCCTACCTTGGGTCAAGCGTTAGCTCGCAAGAGACGCGAAGCGCGCTAGCCACGCGCACTCGCACGCGCTCAAGGAGGAGGATCAAGCGCCTCAGCCGCGCATCAAAGGAGGAACATATACCAACACTGTTTCATAGGATATTGTTTGTTTTACCCTGGGTTTCGTCCAGCGCTCTTTCATTTCATTTTCTCTCATTATAACACTGTCCAAAAGACTAATAACACACTGATATATATGCATATAGGGATTGCCTAGAAGAACATAGAAGAAAAACAACCATAGATCGTGCCCGCCTAGCTCAATAGTATTATTTTCTCTTCGCACGCATGACGCGGCACCATGCCCCTTTTTACCTTAGAACGCGCACATATGCGCGCAGTCTTCCCACGCTCACACGCACATACGCGCGCAATATTCACGCGCCCATACGCCTCGCGCGCGCACACATGCGCGCTTCCCGCGCCTTGCTCATAGGAAGGTGTAGATGTTGACAGCTGCACGAAGAAGACAAGTCGGATAGGACATCCGCAAAGTCTACCATTTTCCCTTCATATTTTCACATATAGTTTTACTCACAATGTTCAAACCTTTAGCATCTAATATTTAGCGCGCCTAGCAGGACTTGGTCTGGACATGGATTGGATCGCTCCTGGACTGCGCCACTTTGCATCATACCCACCATACAACACATGCGACAATCACGCGCTTTCTCGCGCCTTGTGCGCGCGCGCTTTCCCGCGCTTTACGCCATATGCACGCATCTCGCCCACACCTTGCGCGCCACATCCATATCACTCTCGCATCATCGCCCCACACCCATGGCATATTATTCACATCAGAGTCACCCTCGCAATCCACCATGCTATGCTTCATTCCCGCGCCTTCATGCATAGCGCGCGCACATTCTCGCGCCTCGCGCATACCATGCGCGCGCACCTTCCCACGCCTTTGCACCTTGCGCGCGCCTGCGCTTTCGCATACATTGCATATCACGCGATAATTCCTGCACTCGCACATTCATCACCCAACAACCAAAGCATCGTACAAGCATCACACTTGCATACTCTCACGCAAAATCCTCACCACGCGCGCGCTGAGTGGGGACACTCAGAATT